GTCCCGCGGGGGGAAGGGGGGCATGTGATCCTTTTTGTGTGACCTTGTGACAAGCAACATCAATGGGGAAGCCAAATTCACTTAAAACAACCGGGTGACTCACTGAACAGCTGTCGTGATTCACTTAAGAACTGTGGAACAAAAAGTCGTAAAACGGGGCAAAACTCCCTTAACTGTCTTGCTTAGCCACAGAAACGCCGGGCTCCGTTGCGGTCGCAAGTCAAGGACTACCCGTATTGTCTTAACACAGCTCCGTGCTCTTCCTTTCTTTCTCTGTCACCGGCTTTAAAAGTTCCCTTTTTACTTTCCAGTGGCAACCAAGAGACGTAAAACTCGAGCCCAGATAGTTTCAACTCTCCAAGGAAGAATGGAGAAATGTTGTAGTTAGTCCCCGACTTATAACCGTTCGTTTAGCGACCGTTCAAAGTTACAAAGGCACTGGAAAAAGGGACTATTTTGAAGCCGGATTCACTTAACAACCATGTGTTGCTAACTTAACTGCTGGGAATTCAACTCAACAACCGTGGCAGGAGAAGTTGTAAACTAGGTCAAAATTCACTGAACTGCCTCGCCTTAGCAAGAGAAACGCTTTGGGCTCTGTTGTGGTTGTAAATCGAGGACGACCTGTCCTTGCAAACGGAGGGTGTCACCAATCTGGCCTGCTAGAGACGCTCTTGTCCTCTGCTGAATTCTCCATGGGGGTGGGGGACTGAATTTTGACCACATCCAGACGATTTGCCGTCCCTTCCCCCTCAGCCTCAGCCATGCTGGGAGAAAGCAGCTAATAACCTTAGGAGATACTACCTATAGCAGGGATGGCTAACCTTTTTGCCATCGTGTGCCAGGAGGGGGTGGGTGGGGGAGGATCGCGCGCGCATGTGCCCACACCCATAATTCTATGTGCCCTGCCTCTCTAGGAGTCTCTGGAGGCTGGGGACAGCAAAAAATGTCACTTCCTGTCCAATTGGGAAACGGGCCGTTTCGGGCCTCGGAAGGAGTGGGGAAGGCTGTTTTCGCCCTCCCCAGATGCATAGAGAGAATCTGGAGACAGGTGAGAAAGAAAAACAGGCCTTCCCCCCCAGGCCCTCCAGAGGCAGGAAACATCCTGTTTCCCTACTTCTGGTGGGCCCAGAAGGCCTGAAAATCAGCTGGCCAGCGCATGCATGCATGCCAGAGCTGAGCTGGCGTGCCCATTGATATGGCTACGTGTGCCACCTGTGGCACGCGTGCCATAGGTTCGCCATCACGGACCTATAGTATCTTAAAACTAAGTCTGTAGCGTCTACAGAAATCAAAACAACCCGTTTATGGCTACATCTGGGTTTTTTTGAGGACGTCGCTTTACAAACCAGGTTACCCTTTCCGCCGCTGAATTCCTTAAAGGGGATCATAGACCATGATTTATCAGATCAGCCAGCCCATCGCACGATGGTTTCACTCCTACGTAACTCACAACGCCCATTCTTTGTAGGAAGTACCGTGTTTCCCCAAAAATAAGACCCTGTCTTATATTTTTTTTGAACCCTGAAATAAGCGCTTGGCCTTATTGCCATGCGCTCAAAATAAGCTGATTGGGCTTATTAACAGAGATGATCTTATTTTGGGGGGAAACAGGGTATCATGAACGCATGTTGTTGTCGTTCAGAAGACAGGTTTAGTTTATCGGACGGCAGAGGTTCAGGGATGGGATCTCTTATTTCCCTCTGCCTTGAATCTACCCCACACCCTGCCTGTTATTAAGGGCCTATGTCTGCTGCCTGAATCCAAACTGAACCCCTTGCAAGTTTATCTGATATCCGAAGGTCAATAGAAGCATCCAAAATTGAGGTAGGATGTGTATATAACATGGGGTTTCAATAGAAGAAAATGTTTGGGGTTGAACTGTGGGAAGCTTGCCGGCTTTTCTTGCAGACTTTTCATGACCCAACTAGGGAATGCCATCAGTGCTCACTAAGGAAGGAGGTGTGCTGTTTATATGTTCCCTGTCAGTGTTGGTGGGAATTCCTGAATTAGGTACTACCCTCAATTAGGAGGCGCTCAGCAGTAATCAGCACCCTGATAAGCAGAGATGAAGCCCAGAATTAGTTATCAGAGCAACTACCAAGCATGTGATCAAAGAACTACCGATTCAAGGAAACAAGTCAAATAGGAAAAACAGCCTAATTAAGGGAGCACCAAAACCACTTCTAACATTGACAGGACAAACCAACTTCGATATAAACAAAGAGGAAACCGTTCTAGTAGTGATGATGTTCCTTAGTTGGGTCATGAAACGTCTGCCAGGAAAACAACCAAGCTCAAAGAGCATCGACCCCATAGCCCTCCTCTTCCTCGTCCTCCCTTCCAGCACTGATAATGTTCACTAGTTGGGTTATGAAACATCTGCAAGAAAATAACCAAGTCAGAGACCACCAACTACCCCACAGTTCTCCTCCTCTTCTTCTTCTAATATCTGATAATGTTCTCTAGTTGGGTCATGAGACGTCTGCCAGGAAAAACTACCAAGCCCAGAGAGCACCCAGGAACCCCTAACCCTCCTCTTCCTCCTCGCCCTTCCTCCTTCTATGCAAACCCCTCTTTCCCTTCTAGATGCTCCCTAATTGGATCATGAAATGTTTGCAAAAAATAAAAAAAACCCCACCACCACCATGCTCAGAGAGCACCAAGGAGCCCAAGCTTCTTCCCCTTCCTCCTCCTCTCTCTCCCCCTCCCTTCCAGCCCTGATGAGGTTTCCTAGTTGGGTCATGAGACGTCTGCCAGGAAAACTACCAAGCCCAGAGACCACCAAGGACCCCACAGTCCTCCTCCTCCTCACAAACCCTCCTCCCTTCTAGCACTGATGATGTTCCCTAGTTGGGTTATGAAACGTCTGCAAGAAAACAGCCAAGCTCAGACACCACCCAGGACCCCACAGTCCTCCTCTTCTTCCTCCGCCCCTTCCTTCCAGCAGTGATGAGGTTCCCTAGCTGGGTCATGAGACATCTGGAAAACTACCACACCCAGAGACCACCAAGGACCCCCCAGTCCTCCTCTTCCTCCCCTCCCGCACTCTGTCTTTCTCACAAACCCTCCTCCCTTCTAATTAATTCAATTTATAATCAATTCAATTGATATGCCGCCCCTCTCCGAAGACTCAGGGCTAGTACTGATGATGTTCCCTAGTCGGGTCATGAGACGTCTGCAAGAAAACCACCCAGCTCACAGACCACCCAGGACCCCACAGTCCTTCCTCCTCCTCCTCTTAATACCTGATAATGTAACCTAGTTGGGTCATGAGACGCCTCCCAAGAAAACCACTCAGGACCCCTCAAATAAAAGGTGGGGGGGAGAGGAAGGAGGACTTGCTGCCTCTTTTCATGTGTATATATATATATATATATATACACACACACACACATATATATATATGTAATAAATAAATAAAGTTTTATATAATAAAACTTATGATTATGATATAAAAGCTCACAGAGAAACCCTCCAGGTGGCCCCACCCCCACCTCTCCTCCCTCCCCCCCCGCAGAGCCCCTCCCTTCCCTCCCTCCCTGCACTCTGCACGTCCTCAGAGGCGCCCTCGCCGGCCCCTCTACTCACGGTGCGGGCCTGCCGTCGCAGGAGGTAGAGCAGGAAGCTCCAGAGCTTGGCGGCGAAGGCCAGGAAGGCCCGGAGGCCGAGCAGGCACTGCGAGCGCATCATCCCGCCGGCGGGGCCCGCCGCGCCCCCGGCCCGGCCCAGCTCCGCCAGTTTCCAGCGGGGGACGGAAGAGGAGGAAGAGGAGGAGGAGGAGGACGGCAGGGCCCTCCGGTCAGCCCGTGCCCGCGGGCCCCGCCATCCCGGCTTCCCCCGCCGCCGCCTCCTCCTTCCCTCCCTCGTCCGCTCGCTCGTTCGGCTCCGCTCTCCCGGCTGAGGGGGAAGCGCTGCCCCCCCTCCCCCGCCGACGCTCGCCTCCGCTTTTCCACAGGGATCACTTCCGGAGCGAGCGGACCGAGCGCCCAGCGACTGCTTCCGGGGCGCCGGAGAAGGAGGGTGGGAGGAAAGGCCATGCGCGTCCAATTAGAAGGCGAGGGAGGAGGAGGAGGCGGGGCCCGGAGAGCGCCGCGCATGCGCTCCCTCCGCTTTATTAAAATTAAAAAAAAAAAGAAAAGGAGCCCATCGAGGAATTTGAAAGCGTGAGGATAGGGGAGCCGGCCAGTCAGCGGCGAGGCTCAGACGCGCATGCGCCGTCAAGACACAGATACATTAAAAAAACCCAGAAGCGGAAGCGCATGCGCGGAGAGTTCCCGCTTTCTTTCCCTCACACAAAAGTTGAAAGGCACAGACAAAAAAACAAACAAAAAACCCCGATTTAAAATACGAAAAATTATGTCAAAGCATGAGCCAATTTTATGTTTTCCCGATTCTTTCGTAGAGGGAGCCGGGGAAAGAACCAACTATGGAAAAGGGAGGCTGGGTTTATTTTTTTTTTGATACGGAGCTGGATATTTAAGGACGGCGGGCAACACTGCAGGGTTGTTGTGAAGTGGTTTCTTTTTCCCCCACCCCCACCCCCAAAAATGAACAAGGCATTTTTAGGTTTTATTTTCTCCTCAGTCCTGGAGTTGGAGCCTCTCCAAAGCTGCCTTGAAATCTAGTCATTAAGAGTTATGAAGCGATTTATGCCTTTTTTTTTGTCCATTAAAAAAAAAACAGAATTATATTTTCCTTTGTGTAAATAAAAAAAAGTATATTTGCCTTAAAAGTGAAGCAGGCGGGCTCTTAAGGCCGTATTTCTCAACTGGGGCCACTTTTAAGATGGGTGGACTTCAACTCCCAGAATTCCCCAGCCAGCATAGCTGGCTGGGGAATTCTGGGAATTGAAGTCCACTCATCTTAAAAGAGTGGTCTAACCTGAGAAAGCCTCCCCCCCCCCTCAAAAGATGCAGTCATTTAAGTCACCCACACCGCTAACTTTGTAAAAATATATATATATATACAAATCAAAATTTTAAAAGACACCGACAAGGTGATGGTTTATCGTTTTTATGTAACTAAGATGATCAAAGGCCTGAAGATTTTACAGGAATTGGGTTTGTGAGTCTAAAGAAAAGAAGGATTGGGGGGGGGCCGTGAGAGCAGTCTTCCAGTATATGAGGGGCTGCCCCAAAGAAGAGGGGGTCAAATTATTCTCCAAAGGCAGGAGAAGAAGCAACGGATGGAAATTAATCAAGGAGGGAAGCAACCTGGAATTAAGGAGGAATTTCCTGAACAGTGAGAACAATTAACCCGTGGAACAGCTGGCCACCAGAAGTTGTGGGCGCTCCATCCCTGGAGGTTTTCAAGAAGAGATTGGTCGACCGTTGGCCTGAAATAGCATAGGGTCTCCTGCTTGAGAAGGGGGCTGGACTAGAAGACCTCCGAGGTCCCTTCCAGATCTGTTATTCTATTCCATTGTATTAGAGCCAGTCCTGTCGGCATTCAGATGAGTTTATTGGCTGCCCGGCTACGAATCTCTCCTTCCTCAAAAGGATGGCTGATACCAAATCACTCCTCCTATCCGGGATCCAAACCGATTTCCTGAAAGTCGCTTTTTTTTTTGGTTTTTTTTTTACTCCTGTCCTTTTCCAGACGAACGAAGCAGCAAATCTGGACTGTTTTTTTCTTCTTCGGGTGGCCCCGGGTTCCGATTTGCCCTGCCAGTCCCATTCCCAGCGGCCAACTGGTTCTGTCCGCCATCGTTGTCAAGAAAAGCAGCTCTCCGGGAAGAGGTGGAAGGATTCCAGTCCCAGATCTGGAAAAAAACAGATTTCCCCCATTTCTCCTTCACACATCCAAGTCGTCATCGGGATCTTCCTCGTCAAAGTCATCGGCCGCGTCCGGTTCGTAGTAGATTTTCCCTTCCTCGGTTGATGTCTGTAGCAGAGAGGACTTCCTGGGAGGGAAGGAGGAAGAAAGCAGAGGAGAAGGAAAAAATGTATTTGTCTGTCTATCATCTCTCTCTTTCACACATCTCTATCCATCCATCCTTCCTTCCTTCCTTTGGAAATTGTGGGTGTTCCATCACTGGAGGCTTTTATGAAGAGCTTGGATAGCCATTTGTCTGAAATGCTACCGGTATGAGGTCTCCTTGAGCAGGGGGTTGGACTAGAAGACCTCCAGGGTCCCTTCCAATCCTTTGATTCTATGGTCTGCCTATCTAACCTCTCCCTCCCTCCCTCCATCATCTATGTCTGTCTGTCTCTTTCTATCATAGGTACTGTCTATATCTACAGTATCTATCACCTATGTACGTCTGTCTCTCCTGTTATTTATCTATTTATCTATTGATCGATCGATCAATCTATCATCTATTCCTATATATATATATATATCTTTCTATCATCTATTCCTATCTCTCTCTCTCTCTCATCTATTCCTATATATCTCTCTCTATCTTTCTATCATCTATTCCTATTTATCTCTCTATCATCTATTCCTATCTATCTATCTATCATCTATTCCTATCTATCTATCATCTATTCCTATCTATCCATCTATCATCTATTCCTATCTATATCTATCTATCATCTATCTATCATCTATTCCTATATTCCTATCTATATCTATCTATCATCTATTCCTATCTATTTCTCTATCATCTATTCCTATCTATATCTATCATCTATCTATCTATCATCTATTCCTATCTATCTCTCTATCATCTATTCCTATCTATCTATCTATCTATCTATCTATCTATCTATCTATCTATCTATCTATCTATCTATCATCTATTCCTATCTATCTATCAATCAATCAATCAATCTAATCTTGAGGTTCTTAAGAAGCCCTTTGTCTGAGAAGTTATAGGGCCATGATGGCGAACCTATGGGACGCGTGGCACATGGAACCATATCACCTGGCACCTGTGGCTTAGCCCGCTCGTCTTCCGGGTTTCTGCCGTGCATGTGCACACAATGATCAGCTGGCTTTTGTGTGTGCGACAGTGCCCGAAACCGGAAGAGCTGGTCTTCTGTTTTTGGCGTGAGCATGCACGAGCTGACTGGCATGCACATGCGTGGCAGTAACCGGAAGACTTGCTGGCCGGTTCACATGCATGCACCAGAAACCGGAAGTATCATATCCATCGCGCACATGCCCCCTGGGCAGCTCCTCATTCCTGGTCGTGGCCCTGACGAGCACGCACGAAGTGCTCCCTTTTCCGCACTCGGTGCCAAAAAGGTTCGCCATCACTGTAATAGGGTCTCCTGCTTGAGCAGGGGGTTGAGCTAGATGACCTCCAAGGTTTCTTCCACCTCTGCTATTCAACTTATTGATGAAATTGATGAGCCGTCTATCTCCTTATCCGAGCAAGGAACCAAGATGCGTTCGACGTAACCTCACAGAGGTACGGGGTTCCTTTATTTTTTATTTATACATTTGCATCCCGCCTTTTATTAGTTTTACAAATAGCTTCAGGCGCAAACGTATCCAATATACCTCCCTCCTCTTTTCCCAACAACAACCGTGTGAGGTGGGTTGGGCCCAAAGTCACCCAGTTGGCTTTCATGCCTAAGGTGGGACTAGAATTCACGCCTCCTGGTGATTGGTCCAAAGGCACCCTGCCTTCAAGCCTAAGGTGGAACTAGAACTCACCTCCTCCTGCTTTCTAACTTGGTGCCTTCACCACTAGGCCAAAGTGGCTCTCAAGCAATGTGTCAACTGAATTATAATACATGTTTTTTTTAATATAATGTTCCTTAAAAGGAATATGCCAACTGAATTTTCGTTCCACTCTAAAGCTTGTTAAATGGCCTCCATTTAACTGAGTTTTCCCCTCTAAGACTTCACGTTTCTGGATTTCTTCTGTCCTTCAACAGGAGCTTGCCAAATACTGTAAGCCACCCCGAGCCGTTTTGTGGAGCGACTTGGGCGGCGTATAAATTTTAATCGGTGGATAAATGAAATATGTGAGAGGAAAGAGACCAAAAATCCTTACTTTTCCTCGCTGAAGTGGTACGGGAGAGGCACCGATTCCCTGGCTTGGCGCTCGGCCTCCGTGAGACGCAGGTTGAAGGTCAGACGGGCCGTCGGATCAACCTGGAAAGATCTCCAAGATCAACGGCGTTCGTGGATCAAAGGAAAAGGGGGGGGGGAAAAAGATCTCCCTGTGCTGAAGCAGCCATCTTGGTAGTGTTTTTTTCAAACTTTTTAAGATGGGTGGGCTTCCACTCCCAGAATTCCCCAGTCAGCCATGCCTGTTTCTCTTTTTTCCTTTTTATCCTATCCTTTTAACGCGGAGAGATTGCAGAGGAAGGGATTATAAGAGAGTAAGCGGATCGCAGTGGGTGTACATATCAAAAGGAACGCATTACTGCCAGGCAATTCTGGGAGTCCACCCATTTTAAAGTAGCTAACTCTGAAAAACCCGGATTTACTCTAAGGAAGAGAAGGAACACGGATGATTGAAGGGCGATCCCAGGGAAGACTGGGTGGATTCAACCAACAGATGGGTGGATAGATTTTGGAGTGCAGGGGTCCAAATTTGAAATGAGGAGAAATTTCCTGGCTGTGAGAGCATTGAAGCAATGGAAGAACTTCCCTCCAGGAGTTGTGGGTGCTCCATAGATGGAAGATTTCAAGCAAAAGTTGAACAGCCATTTGTCTGAGACAGTATAAGATCTCCTAACTTGAGGCCTAAGGGTTGGACTAGAAGACCTCCAGGGTCCCTTGGATATGTCAAGAGATGGATTACTCGCTGGTCCTATCCAAACAGAGGCAGGAACTCATTAAAGTGTTCATTTCTAACCAATCCTCAACCTACAACAATTCGTTACACTTACAATGGCACTGAAAAAAGGGGACTTATGACCACTCCTTGCACTTACGACTGCCAAAGCATTCCTCACGAAGCATTCCTCATCTGACAAACAGCCCACCTGAATCCCCCCCCCCAAAAAACCCAAACCCTGCTCCCAATTCATCTGTCACAAGCCCAAGGCACGTACCTCTGCGGTTTCCCGTCCTTCCTCTGCCTCGTCCTCTTTGGAAACGCCTTTCGGTGGCAGCTCGCCGAGGAATTTGAACCCATACCCCGGGAGGATGCTGAAGAGTTCTGTCTGGGGAGGGAAGGGCAGAAATGAGGGGTGGGGAGGGGAGTAGAGGGGATACCAATAACCTGCCTCGGCTTTCCTTGGCAAGCATAACTCTTTCGACTCACAGGTAGTCCTCGACGTACGACCACAGCGGAGCCCAAAATTTCCGTCAGTTAAGTGAGACAGTTGTTAAGTTGAATCCCTGCAGTTGTTCAGTTAGTAGAAGGGTCGTTAAATGAATCTACCTTCTCCGTCGGCTTGGCTTTATCAGGTCGTGAAAAAGGGATCACGTGAACCCTTTGTGACCGTCATAAACATGAATCAGTTGCCAAGTGTCCAAGTTTTGACCACGTGACCGTGGGGATGCGGTCGTTAAGTGTGAAAAAATGGCCGCAAGTCACTTTTTCTCAGTGCCGCTGTAAGTTTAAACAGTCACTAAATGAACTTGTTGTAAGTGGAGGACTACCTGTATTTCCATTTAAAGAACTCGTTTAGACTGGTGTGTGTATGTGTGTGTGTGTGTGTGTGTCCAACCTTGGGAGCTTTTGAGACCTGCGGACTTCAACTCCCAGAATTCCTCAGCCAGCATGGCAGCCATCTTGTCAGAGAGCGGAGGTGGGGGGGTGGGAAGCTGGAATTCTAGTCCTCATTGTTACAACTGAGGTGTTTCCAAGCAAGAGGGGTGGCAATTATAAATTTAATAATTAAATAGTGAACAAACCGCCATTCAGCTTCCGTTCAGGGAGGGCTCGCCTCGAGCTCCTTCCCAAATGCCATAGATTGCATTTTATTTTTATTTTTTTATGATATGGAGAAACTATTTATTTCAATGGCATCTCAAACAATTAATGGCCTTAAGATATTAATCTCAGGGTCTGTTATAATCTATGTATCTATGTATATCTAGCTCTCTATCTATCTTTACGGGCGGCGGGGGTGGCGGTCCCAAGAGACCGTCTAGCGACGACGGAAGCCAAACCGGAAGCCTAGCTCTCTATCTATCCACGTATCTCCGTTTTCTTCCTTCTTTCCTTCCTTTTCTTCTCTTTCCCATTTCTCATTCTTTCCTTCCTTTTCGTCTCCTTCCATCTCTTCCTTGCTTCTTTTTCTTCTCCTTCCCATCCTTCCTTCCTTCCTTCCTTTCCTTCCTTTCCCTATCATCTATCAGCCAGGTGCAAGGCAAAATTCCATTTCTTCCACATACGTCCTCATTTAACGCTGAATGGAAAGACACTTCCCTGCATTTCTGACCCCAAAGCCGAGCTTTTGCAGCCTGTGCTGTCTTCGCCGTGGGTCAAAGGAAGCCCTATCTGGCCCTCCTCACCTTCTGCAGAAGCCTCTTCCCCCTCTCTCTATGGAGGACGACAGCGGTTTGGGGGGTCCCATCCCCACTTCGTCCGCTCCCCGGTCCCGGCTGCAGGGTCACCACCAGGCGGGCCAACGTCTTCAGCACGTCCAGCTGGGCAGGCGGGTGCAAATCCCCGTGGACGAGCGCCACAATCCGGACAATTTTCAGCCCTGCGGAAAAAAAGGAGATTTTTGAGGAAACCCTAAAGCTGCTCATCCCTTCGAGCAGCGTCAGGATTCACTCGGACCTTGATGAGATGCACTGAGAACAGAGGAACAGAACTGGGTAGCGATTGAATCCTGATGCGTGTGAAGTCCAAAACCTGAGTTTCCTTGTGGAGTAAATTCTATCGATCAATCAATCAATCGACTGATCGATCTATCGGTATCTATTATAGATCTATGTATCTATATATATCTATATCTACCTCTCTCTATATCTCTACCTTCTTTCCTTTTTATTTTTTCTTTTTCTCTCTCTTCTTTTTCTTTCTACTTACCTACCTGCCTACCATCTATCTCTATCATCTATCTCTATCATCTATCTATTATAGATCTATGTATCTATATAGATCTATATCTATCTCTCTATATAGCTCTACCTACCTTTCCTTTTTTTTTCTTTTTCTACCTGCCTATCATCTATCTATCTATCTATCTATCTATCTATCTATCTATCTATCTATCTATCTATCTATCTATCTATCTATCTATCTAATCTATTTATCATCTATTATAGATCTACATATCTATGCATATTTTTATCTCTTTTTTCTACTTTTGTACCTACCTATCATATATGTATCTATATCTATTTGTCTTCTTAAGTTTTCGCGGGTGTGCATATGCAAAAAATTAAAATCTCGGGTGTTTTCCCGCGTCATTGTAAATAAGTTGGTTAAAATATTTAAAATCCTGGTTAAAATCCCAGCTTAAAATCTTCTAAAAATCCTTACAGAGCACTCTGCAAGGTCCTTTAAAACCTCAGCTAAAATCCTACCAGTGACTTTAAAAAGTTTTTCTTATAGCAACGTTTCTATATCTATATCTATCTATCTATATCCATCTATCTACTTACCTACCTACCTAAGCAATAGCACTTATATCCCGCTTTACAGCTCTCTCTAAGCGGTTTACAGGGTCGGCATACTGCCCCCAACAATTTTGGGTCCTCATTTTACCGACCTCAGAAGGATGGAAGGCTGAGTCAACCTGGAGCCTGGTGAGATTCGAACTGCCAAATTGCAGGCAGCCGGCAGTCAGCAGAAGTAGCCTGCAGTACTGCACTCTGACCACTGCGCCACCACAGCTCAATCTGCACCCCTCTGCCCCTCCCAATGCCCACCCCCCCCTTTGCTCACCAGCAGCATTCGCTCTCCTGGGCAGCTGTGCCAGCACTTGGCAGACGGAGGGAAAGGGAAGGCGGAGTAGCAGCCAGCTGAGGGAATCCAGCACGATCGTGGCGGATCCCTGTGAGGTTGAAGCCAGGCGGGACGCCAATCCCGAAGCGGAGAATTCTCCCAGGGTCAGGCCGCTGCCTCTCCCGCACCAGCCCAGGGGATCTGGGAAAGCATCATGAAACAATATCCTGGAAGAAAGCGAGTTACAGATAAGTCCTCATTGGAGCCCAAAATTTCTGTTGCTGACTGAGACATTCGTGAAGTGAGTTTTGCCCCATTTTACGACCATCCTGGCCACGTGTTAAGTGAATCACGGCAGTTTTTAAGTTGGGAATGCAGTTGTTAAAAGTTGCAAAAGGGGATCACATGAGCCCGGGGACACTGCGACCCTCATATAAACAAGCCAGTTGCCGAGTGGCGCGTTTTCGATCAGGGTGACCACGGGGATGCTAAGACGGTCGTAAGTGTGAAAAACTGGTCATAAGTCAACTTTTTCCAGGGCTGTTTTCACTTTGAACGGTCAACTAAAGGAATGGTTGTAACCAATAAAGGAGAATATTTGTCGCTGGGGGTTGAACTGGGGGGGGTTTCCTCGGTGGTCTCTGAGCTGGGTTGTTTTCTTGCAGACGTTTCATGACCCAAGTAGGGAACTTCATCAATGTTAAATGAGTGGAAGTTGAGGACTATTGTATACCCTGCTGGCTGTGTACCACACACTGAACTACAAAGTAAGCGACCCACACAAATCCAGAAAGCTGAGTGGAAGGAAGCACAGCTCACATCCGTGAGACCCAGAGTTCTTTTCCCAACAGCCAAATGTTTAGCGTTGGCCTAAATTTTGGACTGGCTCACAGTGCCGTTCCCTGCTTTCAAATTTCACACACACACACACACAGAGAAACATACACACACAAAATAGAAATTTAGGACTTACCGGGAGGTCACTTCAGTGCTCAGCCCAGCCTTGAATTCCAATTCTGAGAGATCAAAACTGAGAACGTGGAGACACTCTGCCCTAGAGAAGAAAAGCAAGGTAGCACTTAGATTTATATACTGCTTCACAGGGCTTTACAGCCCTCTAAGTGGTTTACTGGGTCAGCCTCTTCCCCCAACAATCTGGGCCCTCATTTTACCCACCTCGGAAGGAAAGATAAAAGGCTGAGTCAACTTTGAGCTGGTCAGGATCGAACTCCTGGCAGTGAGCAGTGAGTTAGCCTGCAATACCGCATTCTGCTCTGTCTCTCAGGTTCACTGCTTAGCCTCTCTTGGGCAACCTGGCCCCACTTCTTCCCTGCCTACAAGGCGTCCCAATCCTGAAAGGCCCTGGCCTGACTTGGCCTACTCCTCTCCATTTTTCCTCCCAAGCCTATAAGAGCCTTGGTGGCGCAGCAGACTAAAGTGCTGTTAAGTAACACCAGCTGCCTGCAATTACTGCAAGTTCGAATCTCACCAGGCTCAAGGTTGACTCAGCCTTCCAAGGTAGGTAAAATGAGGACCCGGATTGCGGGGGCAATAAGCTGACTTTGTATTAAAAAAAAAGAACACCACTTAGGGGGCCCCCGAAAGACCTACTAAGCAGGTATATACAAAAGTATGAAGGCTATTGCTTAATGTACTGTAAGCCGCCTTGAGTCTCCGGAAAAGGGCGGCATATAAATCGAACCAATCAATCAATCAATCAATCAATCAATCAATCAATCAATAAGCCAACGAAGCTGCCCCCTTGATCTCGAGTTCCGGCTCATCTTCCTCCGCAGATTCAGGCTCCGACGAGGGCATAACAACGTCCCTTGACAAGCAAAATCACAAAACTTGTGTCCCACTTAGTTTGGCCACGTCATTAGGGGTGGGGGGGGGGAATTCACCAGAGAAAGCCATTATGATAGGAAGAGTCAGCTGTTAATGTGGCTGTGCCAACACTTGACGATTGGGGTACTTTCCTTGGCTACTGTGCATTTTAATTCGTATATCTGTACAATAAGGTGCAGCCAATGGGGGGGAAAACTTCCTATGTTCCCCAGAGCTACCTCTGGTTGTGAAAGTTGGACCTTGAAAAGCAAGACAGGAAGAAAATCCACTCGTTTGAGCTGGGGTGCTGGAGAAGGCGCCTGCGTATTCCTTGGACAGGGGACTCTCAGTTTAGGGGAGCAGCCCATCTGTGGGCTGGCACCAAGCATTCGAGGTCGGTTTTGCCAAGCCACAGGGGTGGCCTATAAATTTGATACAGTGATAAATTCAAAGCTCCCGGGAGTTTCCCACTCACCGCTGGGCGGCAGCTGTGACGAAGCTCTTCAGCAGGGAGCGTCCTTCGCAAGCAACTGCATCTGCCAGAGGGGAAAAAGCGAAGTCGAGTCTTTTGGGTTAAATCTTTTAGTTCGGTTTTAATATCGTTCTTAATAATATTTTAATTCTGTGTTCCTTTAATCTTTTAACTATATTTTTACTTGTTTTACAACCTGCAAGCTGCTCAGAGTGAGGGGGATGGGCGGCCTAAAACTTTGCGATAGAAAGAAAGAAAGAAAGAAAGAAAGAAAGAAAGAAAGAAAGAAAGAAAGAAAGAAAGAAAGAAAGAAAGAAAGCAGGCCCAGGAGGAAAACAGACTGGTCAGCCATAGCATCTCTCTTGACCACTCATGAGCAGCTGCTTCCTCCTGGACACTCTCTGCCTTCCTCAGCTGGAACTCCCATTGGGATGTGGGGGGAGAGAAAAACTCTGCAGAGGGGATGAGAGGCCACCAGGTGATCCCCTGAAAGGGATGGAAGCCCATCAGAAGATCATCCGCATGTGATGACCACCAGATCCCCTGCAGAGGGGATGGGAGGCCACTAGTAGAAGCCCTGCATATGATAGGCCACTAAAGGATACCCTGTTGGGGGATGGGAAGCCATCAAGTGATGCCCCACATGCAACAAGCCATCAAGAAATCCCCTGAAGGGGATGGGAGGCCATTGTGAGATTCTCATCAGGCGATCGACGGCCAGATCTCTGAAAGGATGAGAGGCCACCAGGTGAGCCCCTGAAAGGGATGGAAGCCCATCAGGAGTGCCTCTGCACGTGATGACCACCAGATCCCCTGCAGGGGGGATGGGAGGCCATCAGTAGAAGCTCTGCCTGTGATAGGTCACTAAAGGATACCCTATGGGGGGATGGGAAGCCATCGTGAGATTCTCGTCAGGCAATCGACGACAAGACCTCTGAAGGGATGAGAGGCCACCAGGTGATCCCCCGCATGCAACAAACCACCAGGAGATCCCCTGAAAGGCAAGGAAGCCCACCAGGACAGCCTCTGCACACGATAAGACCACCAGATCCCTTACAAGAGGGACGGGGGAGGGCGGGCACCAGGAGAGCTCTTGCATGCGATAGGCCACTGTGCAGGAGGGATGAGGGGGGGGGCAACCAGGAGATTTCCCCGCATTGACAGGCCACCAGGAGATCCCCTGAAAGGGATGGGAGGCCACCAGGAGATCCCAGAGCTCCAAGACAGAGGCCAGTAGCAATCCCCGCTCGTACTTCGGCCAAGGAGACGACCTCCCCTCCCCTCCAGCTGTCCCGTAAAGGGGCCGCCCCTCCGCAGCAGCCGAGGGGGGGACTAGCAGGGCCAGGCCGGGTGGGGAAGGCCCCCCCCTCCCCAGCCCCTCACCCTGGAGGAGGAGGAGCCCCTCGGCGGCCCCGGACAGCAGCGCCTCCAGCATCCCTTCGCGGCTCCCTTCCGCCTCCCCTGGCGTCGCCCGCGCGCCCTGATGACGTCACTCGGCCCGCCTGAGGGGAAAAATGGCCGCAGCGCCTCCTCAGCGCCCCCTGCAGGTGGGCCTCGCCATCGCCTCCGAGGCCATAGGTGGCTAACAGAGCGCCTGATTGGAAAAACAAAAAAAAAAAAGGAAGAAGCCCCCATCCCTCCCCCTCCTCCAAAAGTCAGCTTTTGGGACTTTTTTCTCTTCAGAAAGAATTGGGGGAGGGGGGAAGAGAGGTTTCAGCGCCATGTCTGCCCGGTTAAAGCCAAACACGACTCAGATTGCACCTCCTCCTTCTCGCTGGGCCCACAGAAGCCACTACAACGCCCATGCAGAAGGGCCAGGCGGGGAACGCGGCTCTCTCGCTGTCACATCCCACGGGGCGGCCATAAGACCCCAGACGACCCTCTGAGGGAAGCCCAGCGGCGACAGAAGGGTCGCAAACCCCCTCGGCCGTCAAGTTCGACGCCGTTGCTAAGCTGAGCCGGGCCTGTTGTCAAGGACGGCCGTCAAGCGCGGCTCCGTTGCTAGGCAGGGAGGCCGGTCGTCAAGCGCGGGCCACTCGCGGAACAGGGCGGTCCGAAAGAAGCCCCGTTGCTAGGCAGGGTCGTCAAGCGCGGGCCAGTCGCGAAACACGGCGGTCCGAAAGAAGCCCCGTTGCTAGGCAGGGTCGTCAAGTGCGGCCGTCAAGCGCGGGCCAGTCGCGGAACAGGGCGGTCCAAAAGAAGCCCCGTTGCTAAGCAGGGTCGTCAAGCGCGGGCCAGTCGTGAAACACGGCGGTCGACAGAAAGAACCCCCCGTTGCTAGGCAGGGAGGCCGGTCGCCAGGAGCGTCCGTCAAGCGCGGCGCCGTTGCTAGGCAGTCCGGGCGCGCGGCCCCCGTTGCTAAGGGCCGAGCCGGCGGGTCGTCAAGCGCGGCCGTCGAGCGCGGCCGGGCGCCCTCCTGCCGCCAAGCGGGGCGGCGGCGGCGCCATGCCCCTCTGCCGTAAAGCGCGGCCGGGCGCCCTGCTGCTGCGGGGGCCTGGTCGGGGCGGGATGCTGGGCGGCGGCGGGGGCGGCGGGGGGGCGGCGGGCGGGGGCGGCTCTCCGCTGCCGCTGCTGCACCCGCGGACGGGCCGGCTGGTGACGGTGTCGCGGGGCGGGAGGAGCGCGGCTCGCTCGCAGCCCGGCCAGGAGTTCAACCACGGGCTGGTGCTGAGCCGGGAGCCCCTCGCCCCAGGAGCCCTCTTCACCGTCCGCATCGACCGCAAGGTCAGGAGGGGGAGGGGTCTCCCGGGGGGGGTCCCTTGGGGATTTGGGGGAGGACCTGGGGGGGTCGCAGAGGAGGGGGCTGCAGGAGGGGAGGGGACCCCCAATGAGGTAATAGGGGGGTGGTCTTGGGGATGGAGATGCGCTGTGGGAGGGGGGTCCCAGGGGAGGGGGAGGCAGGACAGGTGAGGGGTCCACAAATGAAAGCTAGAAACAATTGGGGGGAGGGGGTCTCTTGGGGATGGACCTGCGCTGGGAGATGGGGAAGGACCTGAGGGGTCCCAGGGGACGGGACAAGGGAGGGGAGGGGTCCCCTAATGAAGTAATGGGGGGGAGTCTGGGGGATGGACATGCGCTGTGGGAGGGGGTCCCAGGGGAGGGGGAGGCAGGACAGAGGAGGGGAGGGGTCCACAAATGAAGTAAGAGGGAGTCTTGGGAATGGACATGCACTGTGGGAGGGGGTATCCTAGGGGAGAGGGAGGCAGGACAGGTAAGGGGTCCACAAATGAAGGCTAGAAGCAATTGGGGGGGTCTTGGGTCTCTTGGAGATGGACCTGCGCTGGGAGATGGGGAGGGCCTAGGGATCGCAGGGGAGGGGGCTGCAGGAGGTGAGAGGGGAGGGGTCCCCCAATGAAGTAAGAGGGGGGTCTTGGGAATGGACATGCACTGTGGGAGGGGGTATCCTAGGGGAGGGGGAGGCAGGACAGGTGAGAGGTCCACAAATGAAAGCTAGAAACAATTTGGGGAGGGGGCCTTGGGGATGGTGAGGTGCGCTGTGGGATGGGGGCAAAGCCTAGGGGTCCCAGGCGAGGGGGGGCTGCAGGAGGGGAGGAGTAGGGGGGCAAGGGGAGGAGGGATTGCGGGGGTCTTGGGGATGGGGAGATGTGCTGTGGGAGGGGGGAGAGAGCTTTGGGGGGGGTCGCAGGGGAGGAGGCTGCAGGAGGGGGAGGAGCAGGGGAGGGGTCCTCAAATAAAGGCAATGGGGGGCTGTCACAGTGACAGGCAATAGGTGGCTGCCCTTCCCTCTGTTGGTGGGGGGAGGAGAGACCCGGGGGGGGGTCGCAGGAGAAAGGGCCAGAGGAGCAGCCAGGGAGGGGGGGGATCCCCGCGGGGAGGCTGAGGCAATGGTGGGGAGGGTTGCCCAGGTGGCGTAGGGGGGGGGTCTCCAAAAGAAGAAGAAGGGCTGAGTTGTCTTGAGGATGGAGCTGGGCAGCTGCCCTCCCCCTCCCCTTTTGCGGGGGGGGCAGAGCCTCGGTCTCAGGGGAGGGGGCTGCAGGAGGAAAGCGACGAAGGAGAAGGTCCCCAAGGCAATGGGAGGTGGTCTTGGGGATGAAGATGCTATGTGGGGGGAGACCGTTGGGGCTCATGGGGAGGGGGCCTGAGGATCAGATCCAGGGAGGGGGGAGTCCCGAGGCAATGGTGGGGGTCGCAGGGGAGGGGGCTGCAGGAGGAGGGCAGGATCTCCCAAATGAAGGACGAGCCAACAGGATGGGAGGTTTTGGGGATGGAACTGGGCAGCTGCCCTCAGTAGAGAGCAGAGGCTTGTGGATCAAAGGGGAGGGGGCTTCAGGGGAGGGGTCCCCAAAATAAGGAGGCAACAGGACAGCCTTGGGTGGGATGGAGCTGGGCAGCCGCCCTCCCTCTACCCCTCAACAGAGCCTCAGGGTGGGCAGGAGAGAGAGCTGGAGGGGCAGAGCTGACCCCCTCCTCTTCTATCCCTCCCTCCTTCCCTCCCACCCACCCATTTCTTCCCAACCCCTGTCCTTTCTCTTTACCATTTCTCCCACTACATCTCTCCGGGGTGCAAAAATGGGGGCGATAGACCCCCAAAGAAAGAGACCACCACTCAGAAAACACTTCCAGGACCCGGACCCCCATTCAAAATTAGACTTCCAGAAATGTTGACAAGCCCCCCCACACACACACCTCCTGTCGCCCCCGTCCCAAAAACAGCCTTTGAGCAAGAATCTCTGGCCGATGGGTTTAAGCTCCTCCTGGTTTGAGGAGGGTCTGAGCGCCCTTGGCCGGCGCCGAGTGCGAATCACAGCAGCCCTTAATCGTCTTTTCCTTCTTGTCCACCCGCAGGTCAACTCCTGGAGCGGCTCCTTGGAGATCGGGGTGACCGCCCTGGACCCCAACCACCTCGACTTCCCCAGCAGCGCCACCGGCCTCAAAGGGGGCTCCTGGATCATTTCCGGCTGCTCCGTCCTGCGCGATGGGCGCTCCATTCTGGAGGAATACGGGCAGGACCTGGATCAGCTGGGCGAAGGCGACCGGGTCGGCATCCAGCGGACGGCCAACGGGGAGCTGCGCCTTTGGGTCAACGGCCAGGACTGTGGCGTGGCGGCCACTGGCATCCCTCCCCGCGTCTGGGCCGTGGTCGACCTGTACGGCAAGTGCACCCAGATCACGGTGGTGCCGGGAAACGCCGAGGAAGCGGAAGAGGGAGCCTCCCGCGATGAAGGTACCCCCCCAAAAAAGCAGAGAATTGGCGGGAGATCCTATAGCCATAATGGCGAGCCTGTGGCACGCGGAGTCATATTGGTGGGCACACGAGCTCAGCTCCGGAATGCGCCAGCTGATTTTCGGGCCTTCTGAGCCCACCGGAAGTAGGGAAACAGGTTGTTTCCTACCTCTAGAGGGCCTCGGGTGGGGTGGGGAAGGCTGTTTTCGCCCTCCCCGGGCGCCTAGAAAGGCTCTAGAGCCTGGGGAGAGCAAAAAACGGGCCTCCCAATCCCACCAGAAGTCGGCAAATGGGCCGTTTCCAGCCTCTGGAGCAGTGTTTCTCAACCTTGGAAGCTTGAAGATGGGTGGACTTCAACTCCCAGAATCCCCCAGCCAGCGCTGCTCGCTGGGGGATTCTGGGAGTTGAAGTCCACCCATCTTCAAGCTTCCAAGGTTGAGAAACACTGCTCTGGAGGACCTCCAGGGTGGTGGGGAAGGCTGTTTTCGCCCTCCCCAGGCGCGTAGAAAGGCTCTGGAGCCTGGGGAGAGCAAACGGGCCTACCAGGCCCACTGTGCCATTGCGTGCCGGGAGCGGTGTGGGTGGGTCTCACATGCATGGCGCATAGAATTATAGGTGTGGGCACACGCACATGCAACCCCCCTGTACTCCCCCCGCTTTTGGCACAAGATGGCAAAAAGGTTAGCCATCACTGCCCTATAGGGTCTCCTGCTTGAGTAGGGGGCTGGACTAGAAGACCTCCAAGGTCCCACCCAGCTCTGTTTGGATTGGTTGGTTGGTTGATTGCATTGTGGGAGTTGAAGTCCACCAATTTTGGTGCCCTGGTTTGGCCAGATGCGCGAGACGATTCATCCACTCGGGCTGCCCGCCTCTCCGGCGCTTTGTTGCCTCTCTAAACCCAGATAGTCGTTGACTTAAAACCGTTTAGTGACCGAAGTTACAACAGCACTGGGGAAAAAAAAAAGGATCCATGTCTGTTTTTCCACACTTAACGACCGTTGTAGCATTTCCCCATGGTTATGTGATCCAAACTGGCCACTGACTCGTATTTACGACTGCCGCAGTGTCCCGGGGAGGGGGGACAGAGTCACGCGATTCCCTTTTGCAACCTTCTGTCCAACGAACTCAATGAGGAAGCCAGATTCGCTTAACAACCGGGTTCCTCGCTTAGCAACGGTGGCAAGAAAGGTTGTAAGATGCGGCATGAGCTCGCTTAACAACCGTCTCACTTAGAAACGGAAACGTTGGGCTCAGTTGCGGTCGGAAGTCGAGGACTGCCTGTATCAGGTGGTTGGGAAGCGAGAGTGGGGAAGGGTCTGCACAGGCTCGTTCTCCTGAGACCAGCACAGCAACCTCTGTTCTGCGGTTCTTGGCTGCCCCTTCAGGACCTTAAGCCATGATTCTTGGCTTGTTCCCAGGCAACACGGCCTGTGGCTGGTTCTCGGAAGCACCCCTGACAGCCTTCCTCTTCTCCTTCCCTTCCTCCTCCTCCTCCTCTTCTCTCTAGCCCTGGAAGCGCCTTGCAACCAGACGCGGCC